TGATTGGACAGAGAGTTTGGTTTTCTTTTATCCCTGATAATGAACTAGAGAGAGGCAAGGTCACTTAGGGTTCACAAAACAGGGCTTCCACGAGCCTCATCTTGCCCTGTCCAAGAGTGCTGTCTCACATTGCTTAAAGGCAGATTCAGTGGTGAACCACATATCTCTTTTCATATAACTGATGCTGAGTGTGGACAAGAGGAGGTAACTGTTCAGTATGCTGTGTTCATAAAATTCACAAAATGATTTGGTTTGGTTGTTGTGTGAGATGATCTTTGATCTCGTCATTTTTTTTTCATATACCACGTGTCACTTGTACATGCTATTTCAAAGAGGCTTGTTCCATTGGCTCAGATTGGTGAATTTAAAGTCCTACACCCACTTTCCAATTTTGGCAATGATACATCCCATAAAACACCAAAGCTGATACAGAAACCATGTGGCTGCAAACTCTAGACTAAATGTCTGATCGCATTTACCCGCTGTGGACCACTGTTTTTCAATTGCTAGATTCGCACATCAACTGAAATTATATTGTAATTTCCTTGCTTTGGGCTTAGCACGGTGTGTGAATCCAGCTAAAAGTAAACTATAAGTATTGTAAATTGTATTAATTAACCAACTATGACTTTTAAAATCCTGACTTAGTATGTCATATGTGAATTCAGCTATGAAGCACCAGAACAGAAGTATATAGCAGAATGCTGGTTAGACAGTGAGCCAAGTTTGATTTATTGATTATGCTGTCTAGTCATTTTCAGCTCCTAGCAACCACACTCATAGATTTTCTCTATGACAACATATCCCTAACCTGTTCTTTTATGTCTCCCAATAGAGCACTCATCACCACTGTAACTAAATCCATCCACCTTGCTGCTGGTCATTCCCTTAGCTTCCACCTTTCCTAGCATTAAAGCCCTTTCTAGAGACATGAGTCTTTCTATAAAGTGTTCAAAGTAGGATAATTTGAGTTTGGTCATTTGTGCCTCGAGTGAGAACTTTGGGTTAATTTGTTTGATGATCCATCGGTTTGTTTTCTTGTCATTCCATGGTACCCTCATCCAAGTTACATGTTTCTAATGTTTTTTAAGAGTACAATAATGGGATCATTAATTATATATTGCCTTTTAATAAATCAGATCTACCAAGCCTTGAAAACAAACAGAAAATTAGCTTTTCTCAATGTCTGTTCCTTAGTAATAAAATACAAGCATAATAAGAATCTATAATGCTTTTTATTATGCCCTAAGATATTATGGTACAGTTATACTTATATACAATGGCTCTTATATGCTAGAAAGACACTGATATGCTGTTTATACTGTTACCACTTGTAGAAGAAGTTAAAAGTAAAAGGTAATGGTTTTCTTCGAAAACCTCTTGAACTTATTTGCAGGGACTTACTAAATAATAGCTCACATTCTTGATAATTATTCTAAACTAGTTCTGAAGAATTGCAGCAAGAGCATAATACATAGAAACAAATGTTGCATCTCAACATTTTCAGTTCTTTAGAAAATCAATAATATTTATTTGGTCAATGACCAGCAAAATGTAAAAGAACAAAACAAACAAATGCTGAGTGAAGCAAATAAATGCAATAATATGTTAATTAATATACTATTTCAATAGGAAGAGAAGAGCTATGGAAGGGAAATTTTCAATTCATACTAGCTGTAGTCAAAAGGGATAAGGAGACTTGAACTATAAAATATAAGAAGAGCACGAAGTTATTAGCATCTGCATTACTGAGTCAGACATATGAAGGAACACAGCTGTTTACTACTGAGTCTGCCAGATTTGAGCTGCAGAAATCCTGAAGACCACCAGATAGCAAAAAAAGAGTTAGAATTTGCTGAATTTCATTCCTTCTGTTTAGTCGCTATCCAGATTTTTGGAATCAAGCCTGGCAGGCCTAATATTCTTTAATATATTATTAATATAGTTATTCAGATTCATTTATAGTTGGACCTGAATGGCTGGTCCTACTGAGGTGACTGAAACACAGTTTGGATTTGTTAGGTGGGACAAGTTTGCACCTGGGATTTCCAGGGAAGGAGATGAAATCCTCAAGACTGCTCATCCGAACAACCATTTGTTTATTGTATATTGCCCCCTCCTAACTTGTTAAGTAGTGTGCATTTTGTCCTTGTTATAGGGTCAGTTTCTTTGGGGTAGGAATGGTTCTGCCAGTATCGAAACATAATAGCGCACTTTCTTCTCAAAAAGCTATTGGACTCAAGTGATCTGGACTGTCCTTCAGGCAGTCATTCATGGTTTGGTCATCTTACAAATAGGCTTTTGCAGCACATTCTACAGAAGAATGCCCCTGAGGACCACTTCCAAACTACAGCTAATCCAAAATGTAGTGACCCAGGTAATTATGGGATGTCTCAGTATGCCCATGTAACATAGCACAGTCTGCTGGTAGTTTTCCAGGTGCAATTAGGATGCTGATTATCATCTTTAAAGCCTTTTGTGGCCTAGGGCATAGCTATTTGAGGGTCCATTAATATTCTGTCAGGTAGACTCTATTTTCTATGTTTTTTTATAAAGTCTACATGATATTTTTTACCTGTTCAATTTCACACAGTTGGCATGTTCTGACATATTGGCATACTGGGTCAATGGGACACAGGAAGCATACTTTCTTGGTCACTACCTGCCCTCTGGAACAGCATTTTACCTGAAATTTGTATCCCCCCCCACACCTTATTTTAAAAACTCCTTCAAACCTGGGGTTTTGCCCTAGGCTAATTTGGATGTTAAGATCCTTCAGAGAGCACTTGCATGAGGCTGAGACAGAAGATTGTTCTTTATTATTGCTATCATTTCTTATTGATTTGATTTGATTGATTTGATTTGATTACATTTATATGCCGCCCTTTTCCCCAAGAGGACTCAGGGCGGCTCACAATTCAAATCAGGGGAAGGGGGTACAGACAAATTTTTTTAAAAAAAACGGAACATAGCAATACATAATTTAAAAACACACAGCAGTCATACCATTCGAGACGGGGGGCAACAGCTCTTTAGCCCCAGGCCTGTCGGAACAGCCAGGTTTTAAGGGCTTTGCGAAAGGCCTGGAGGGTGGTGAGGGTTCGAATCTCCACAGGGAGCTCGTTCCAGAGGGTTGGAGCAGCCACAGAGAAGGCTCTCCCCCGGGTAGTTGCCAGTCGGCATTGGCCGGCGGATGGAATTCGGAGGAGGCCTAATCTGTGGGATCTAATCGGTCTAGTGGAGGTAATTGGCAGCAGGCGGTCTCTCAAGTACCCAGGTCCAATACCATGAAGGGCTTTATAAGTGACGACTAGCGCCTTGAAGGGTATCCGAAGACCAATAGGCAGCAGTGCAGCTCGTGGAGGATAGGTGTTACGTGGGTGAACCGAGGTGCACCCACGATTGCTCGCGCGGCTGCATTCTGGACAAGCTAAAGTCTCCGAATGCTCTTCAAGGGCTGCTCCATGTAGAGCACATTGCAGTAGTCCAGTCTAGAGGTCAAAAGGGCACGAGTGACTGTTGTGAGGGCCTCCCAGTTGAGGTAGGGACTCAACTGGTGCACCAGGCGAACCTGGGCAAATGCCCCCCTGGTCACAGCCAGAATGGTGTTCGAAAGTCAGCTGTGGATCCAGGAGGACTCCCAAATTGCGAATCCTGTGTGAGGGGCGTACTGTTTGACCCCCCAGCCTGAGAGATGGAATGCTTGGCCAATTAGTAGGAGGGAAACACACCAGCCACTCGGTCTTATCCGGATTGAGTACAAGCTTGTTAACCCCCATCCAGGCCCTAACAGCCTTGAATGGTGTTCGAAAGTCAGCTGTGGATCCAGGAGGACCAAATTGCGAACCCTGTCTGAAGGGCTTACCCTTTGACCCCCTAGCCTGAGGGATGGAATACTTGGCCAATTAGTAGGAGGGAAACACACCAGCCACTCGGTCTTATCCGGATTGAGTACAAGCTTGTTAACCCCTATCCAGGCCCTAACAGCCTCGAGGCACTGGTACAACACGTCAATTGTTAACCTGTTTTTAGTGTTGTACACCAACTTAGAATCATTTCTGAACTGAATGGTTGTACAAAGGTAATGAATAAATAATAAATATTTAAATAAATAATGTGCAAGTGTTCATTGCATGTGGGCATTACTGAAGGAAATACAATCTGGGCAATATTCCAGGGCACTGTTTGAAATGCCTTGATAGACTCACATCTTCTGCCTTTTCCAGGCCACTTGATTCTTGGCCTAACAGCAGGCCTTTCCCCTTTACCAAGAAAAGATGCTACCCCCCCCCCCCATCATTGGGGGTGAAGGTGAGCCAATAATTTAAAGCCTTTTGTCCAAATCTTTGCAGAATGAATAACAGAATCACAGTGAAGAAACTGACTGGGGGATGGGGAGGGTGTCCCACATCAACTAAAACATTCAAACATTCAGCTCTTCTCTGATCATTCCACTACTGGTTACATGACTTTGTTTCCAGAATCAGAAGTGCTGGAAAAAGTAATTAATTTCATACACTTTTAGGCTGCTGATACATAATGTGAGAATAAGGGGGGAGATGCTGCTTTAACACCAGTACAGCAACAGATGTCTGGAGATGAGAGAAAGGCACCATCACAAGAAGAAGGGGGTATAATTGCTAGAATAGTTCTTCCTTGGTTAAATGCATGTAGAATTCAGCCAATTTGTCAGTGCTCAAAATATTTCTTTTTTTCTTTCTCATTTTTTAAATAAAATTTGGCATATAAAATATATTCATAATAAGCAGGCATAGACAAAACTGTATTTCATTTGTATATTTTATCCTGCTTTTTGTGCTTTTGAATTGCAAAAATTGAGAGTTTAGGAGGAAAGATTCAGAAATTATAACCATCATGTTATACATGTATATGTCAGTGAATTAGAATGTTTTTAAATTTTTGTTCCAAAGTCAAGAGAATGGGAAGGACATAAAATAAAACATGAATAAGAAACCTGTTCTTTATTTTTATCTTTATAGGGTCTCCCCTTCAAGCTTTTGACCCAGAATGCTTGCAATTTGCCAACAGTGAAGGAGACCACAATGGGGCTTGCCTCGTAGCATAATAGCCCCACCTCCCTCAAATCTCAAATCCACCTCTGTCGTGGCGACCGTGGAGTGTTGCCTCTGGGGGCGGAGCCCACCTTGGTCTCTCTTTATTGATCCTGGATGGAATTGCGGTGAATGGAACAGAAGCCCAGCACGGTGGAGTGCCTGTCGGAGCCAGAGGACACCCGGTAAGGTCATGGCAATCTGCAGAGCATTAAAACAGTTAGAGAATGTCAGTGGCGTTAAAACTCTATTTAGTTCTGAATTTGTTCTAGAAATGCACATGGTAAAGAGCTCTCTTCTTGTTGATGGGATACAGTAAAAAGTAGCCCTGTGCTAAAAATTAAATTTCTACAGAGATCTTCAAGATCTTTTAAAGTGCCTGAGTATTCTTGATTCTCAGTTATCGCAATTTGACTCATTTCTGCAATTTGTCCTGCAATACCTCAATAACTTTTAGGGGGAGCAATGGGGAATATAAAGTTAGACATCTATGATTTTGGTGTTTTTCCATTTAATGCTACCTCTACTGCTTTCTGCATTCACATCACAAAACATACAATTTAGCATCATATTCAGAATTCAGTGTACTTTTCACTGCTTTTTAAAAGTAGATCCGAAAAGTTGGCCAATTTCTCATTACCAACTTTTTTTTTTCTTAATGTAAGTCTTTCCTCATGGCTCAGTCAAAATGCTACTCACTCATCCCTGAACCAGCAGAAAACTAAACCAGCAGAAAACTTGCTGACTCCTATTCTGCCTTTCTATCCTCAGTTCTGGTGACATCCTGATTTCAGTGTATAGGCATGTTAAGCAAAGCCTTTGGTTAAACCTTCTGTTTTTTGGCCATCTTCCCTTTTCTGAACATCACCAGCTGGCAGCAAAGGATCGCAGCACTGCTAAACACCAGAGATTTAGTCACTTGTCAAAACCCAATACCTCCCCAAGTTCATTATATGAAGCAATGAAACAGGAGTGATACTTCAAACCTACTCCGTCCCAGACTCCACAAACCAGATATCAGAGATGCTTGTTTTGAGAATTAGTTTAATATATTTTTTCAAAGGGGTACCACACCCACTTGAAAACAAGCCTATGGGCAAATAATAATGAGAAGGGGGAATCTTATAGCAGTAACATCAGCTCTTTTTACACAGAGAAAAAAAATTAAGGGAACCATAAGGGACAGAAGGGAAAGGATTGTATATACCAAAGTAACGTATAGGTAGTGGACTGTACTTTTGCTAACATGGATAATTAAGATTAATAGATTGATTGTATGCACCCTGAAATAGTTACTGGTTCCTGACAGCTTAAGGGAAAACATCTGAACAGCTAGTCATGACTTAAGGCTGTCTTGTGAATCGACTGAGGACAGGAGAAAGGCAACATCATGGGGACATGACAGATCATAGATGTTGCCAGAGAATGAGTTGTACTTTGATAAGATGTAAATGAGAAAAGCTGGGTTGTTCTTGTTCTTATTTTAATCAGAATTAATTATGAACTGGAAAAGCCAGTAGGCAGCTCCTAATTGTTAGTGTGAGGATAATATTGCATTACTACAATGGTTCTCAAAACATGGCTTGTGCTGGTGAGTCATTAGCATGACACTCTCCCCACTTTGCTCAAATGCAATAATATTTTATAAATTGCTGGCTCTGGACTGGCTGTCAGATACCTGGACAATGTCCTTCGCGCTCACAGCAGTAGTTCCTGTAAAAATCCTGGCTTGTTTCAGACAGCTATCCAAAATAAACCATCCAGAATTTTTGAGGCCTTCTTGCCTAGTTTCCTTCCTCTATTTCTAAAGGCAGCTTTATACTCATCTTCTTCATGGGCTTTAGGTTGGGTTTTGCCATTGAGCCTAAGTGTCCTCTTAAGTAGGCAAAGCACTGCATTTCGGTTTCATGCAAAAACACAACACTTTGTGGCAGGAAGCCAGCATACTCCATAGCAAATCTTTCTGAAGTCCATCCTTCGACAAACAACTCCATGGAGACAACTTTATTACTGGTAGATATTTGTATTTTAAGAAGAGATTGGAGAACCATTTGTCTGAAATGTTATAGGGTTTCCTGCTTGAGCAGAGGATTGGACTAGAATGTCCCTTCCATCTCTGTTTTTCTGTTATTCTATTACAATGTTGGCGAATGTTTTCAGCACTGAAAGGGGAGCATGTGCACATGTGTGTCGGAAATCGGAAGAGCAGCTTCCTGGTGCACATGCACACAGAGCCATCCCTCCAGGCATGCAAGCTGTCGCCCTTTGCTCTTCCAGGTTCTCGCACGCCAGCCAGCTTGTCTTCACATGCGCGGGAGCGCTGGAAACCGGAAGAGCAGCCTCCTGGTGCGCATGCGTGCACTGGGTGGCTGCTTTTCCAGTGCATGCCTGCGCACCAGGCACGTGGTCCACGCATGCATGCGCACCGGAAACCAAAAGACCAACTGGCCAGTGTGCATATACATGCCAGAAACCGGGAGAGTAGCTGCCTAGCGCATGCTCTTTGGCCTCTTTTTTATGATTGTTGGCTAATTCATGTGTGATTCACAAAAAAATGTTTATAGAGGTTGGGAGGTTACATAAACTAATTATTGTTGAGAAACGTGGACCACAAAATCCTTCTATTACTAAAATCTAGAAACTTTGAGAAATAGTGTATTGCTTTGAAAATATTATTGCATTGAAAATTTTAGTTTCATCAGCTTCTCTGAATTAATTACTATTGGACAAAGAAACAAATCAATTTTTCACATATGTTCTTTTGTTGTAAATTTTCCTTTGAAGGAGAAACATAACTCAAGCACAGGCCTACTCATAGGACTGCCCTGTGAATGGGTGCTAGTATGTGGCTGAAATTGTTAAAATGCCCATGTGGGTGTGTGAACAAGACTGTGAGTCAAAATGCAGATTTGTGTGAAGGCTGAAAATAAAAGTAGAGGATCCAAAGTCTTTCAAATAATGTTTAGTGTTGCTAGTGGGAGAGTTCAATTTCATAACTAGTTTTAGATATACAGTGTTAAGCAGCCTTATTTTTCTGCCGTAGTTATTTAGAAATAAAGGCTCATCAATAAATTCCTGTAGATTTCCTTCTTATCCATTTTCTTTGCCTGGGCTGATTCACATGATAACATTAGCTGAATTGAAAGAACCTAAAAAAAAATGGTAAATAAAGTGGTTTAGAGAGCTTGCTGAGTGACCTAAAGAGTTTCTATAGGTTGTTGGTAATTGCATACACCATGCTGCCCGTCTCTGATTTAGTTTATTGGAAAGAGGCCATTCTCAACTCTGTCATCTTTGGATTCTTTTAACCTAAAATAGAACCTGATGACTTCTGGATGTAAAACTTTAATCTGACACAAACTTGTTCTCCCTTCTGTTATTTAAAAATATTCAGAGATCAAATGTTATTTATATGTATGATGGGTAATTAAGGGGGAAAGTCAGTAGCTCTTTCTGGTCCCTATTACATCCCCAAATCACCCAAGATCTCTTGGAGAGTTCAGTAATTTACAATTTATTTGTGATTTAATTGGGGTTCTACAGTGCCACACTGCTATTGGAGATTCCAACAAAGATCCTGGATTAGGACAAGGTAATTTTTTCAAAAGACAACTTCCATGCAATATATAAGGTCTTTTCTCCATTCTTATGTGTGCATATTTTCTAGCTAGGCACTTCACAGATTGAAGCTTAATGCATGAGTTTTATCTCCATTGAAAATTCATGTTTTTAAGATTGTTGGAATAATCTTATCTGTAATTATTGGCTTTTCTGGTAGACTTGAGGGAGGGGTGACTCCTGGGATATTCTCACAGCCTGATTGGCCCAAAGACTGAGGGAAATCTCTTTTAACCTCCTCCTTTCCCTGTGGCTCCCAGTTCCTCTCAGTCTTTTGGTCCAAGCACTGTGTTTGTGGTTCCCAGAGAAAGTGAGTAGATTTTAGCATTTGTTTGGATTTGATCCATTGGCTACTTTAAATTCTAAATTTCTGAGCTGCTATCTTGCAGGGACAGGGTCCCCCATCCTGCAGCAAGCTGAGGGAGGGCTAATTGGCTTCTCGCTCTCTCGTGAGTTTCCGGAGCTTTGTCCGATCCCTGGAACTGCGAGGGTGTCAGACTCTGTTTCTGCAGCTCCGTGGGAAGGCCTACCAGATAGAGGCACCGGATGGCTTAATTTAACACTGGGAAGCTGCGCCTGGGCGAAACAAGCCGCAGCAAGCTTTCAAGCTGCGGCTAAAGACAAAAATAGCCACTTCTACAATATGGAGCAGGCCTTTTCTTAGGTGCTTCAATTGCCTAATGTAGACACCCCAGTAGCCACCTTAGCCAATGCCTCATCCGTAGTGTCAGGGGATGTGGCTGATAAGTTGAAGCCGGAGGACAAGCGGGCAGAGCTTACATTACATAAGAATTTCAACGCCTCAGCATGGGCCATAAAGTCTACTGCAGCTACCTCTTATTTCAACCAATCAGCGGTCATGTGGCTCCGCCAGTTGCAGGACTGCATTCTTGTTCAGGATGAGTGACTGCACCAGGATATTACAAAGATAAATGCCACCACGCAGTTTTTGGCGGATGCCACCCTCGATGCTGTGAAGTACTCGTCCCAAGCTCTAGCTACCTCGGTTACTTCCAGGCGGTTGTTATGGTTACATAATTGGCAAATGGATAACAAGTCCAAGTGGAGCCTGGCAACTGCCCCCTACTTTAGAACTAATTTCTTTGGCGAATCCTTAGATCCGATTCTCAAAGAGAACAAAGACAAAAAGAAGGTCTTAACTACCAATACCAAGAAGACGGACAACCGTCCGTCCTCATTCCATAGACAGTCATTCAGGGCCCCTGAACAAGATTACCAGCACCAGAGGTACGTCCCTTATAGAACTGATAGGCAGTTCCAGAGGCCCTACTACCAGGACAGGGGTAGATACCAGGATCAGTCCAGGTGGTCCTTTTGTGGAGAGGGCGGCCGCTCCTTCTGCAAAGGGGAATGACTCCAACCCGGGGTTTCCCATTGGCGGCCGTCTGGAACTCTTTGCGGATCAGTGGGACTGAGTAACATCAGACGCATGGGTAACAACCACGGTCAGGAATGGCCTCCATCTAGAATTCCTCTCCATGCCCCCGACCTTTTTCAGAACCTTTCCACCATCCCGGGACCCGGAATGCCATCATCTGATGTCCCT